CATAAATATTTAAAGGGATATTATTGGCAGATAGACATCCGTGGCATTGACAGACAATATTTTCAGTTCATGACTCAGCTGGCAAAGAAAAATCACATGTGTACAGTCAGGATGTTATGAAGGGATATTAAGATGAAAGTAAAAATATAGAAAGTAGAAAATATTTTAAATAGCAGAAATAAGAAGCTTGCTCTTGGAAAAATATATTCAGGTAAAAAATGAATACCATTGACTAAACCAGTGGCTCCCAAAGTAGGGATTGCAAGACAATAAGAAGGTTTCTTGGTGATTTCCAAAAATATCATATATGTCATTAAACTATTAGAATTACCACATTTTATTCATAACAGACGATAAAAATAGTATTTTACAGTTACATAAAAAACAAAATGCAAATTTTCAGCCTTTGGATACCTTTTCCATTGAGACCCCTGGGGTTATTACGCTAAAGTAATGACACAACAAAAGAGTCAGCTGTAGCAGGTTGATTTTACGTTAAACTTTGACAACTACACAGCACTCACGTACATTAAAAATAAAGGCCACAACTAAACATAGAAATTAAACCAATTATAGTCTTGTGCTGGAAACATTGTGCACACCATTCTCATTAGGTGAGGTTAATATCAAATGAAACAAATGAATAATGACTATAAAAAAATTATATTGTTGTTAGATTGTTGCACTTTTTTTGTCTTGTCAATAAGCTTGATAATAGTTCCTATTGGTGTTTGTGCAATGTTGTGTGCAATTGTTGTATGTTTATAACAAACTCCAAGGATAGTGGGGGTTGTAAGTCACTGGGGTAGTTATTTGGGTGGTCATGAGCTAAAAAGTTTGGGAACACCTGGTTTAAATCGTTCTTTTTTGGAAGATACTTCTGTTCTACGGGGATGAACCTACTGTATGCATTATTGATATGATTTCAGTGACTGATGACAGATTCTGGTACAGAAAAGATAAATGTAAATGTGTCACATTTATCTTAAAAGTGTAAGAGTTATTGCTATACTTTCACAACGGTTACATATATTCTGTAGCCTTTACTTGTCCCAAAGGCTTTCATTGTAAGCACAATGGTTATTGTGCATGCATTCTACTGGTCTTACAACCTTGAAAACTCAAACATCTCTTCTTTGCAAATCAACAAGATGTGCAGTATGAGTTTCCTGGAATATTCTACAAAGCGGGTAAAAAAACTCCAATCGATCAAACCTTTAAGAGGGTGGAAAAAGACTCCCAGAGCACCCTTCCTGCCTGGTCAATACAGCAGCTACTGCTCCATTATGCTAATGTGATGGGGTCCGTGGAGACAAGCAGCATGGAACAAAATCCAGAAATAAACCACCAAAGTAAAAAGACCAGCTCATCATCTCATCACTTGGAGACCCAGTTAGTGCAAGGCATGGATAAAACAGGTTTCTAGGCTAGAAACACCACAGTTTAATGTGAGTTTTCATCAGGAAGTCGACTGGCCAGTGCATTAAATACTGGGTGATATTCAAATATAACACAGCACATGAATGTAATTAAGATAGAGAATATTAATTAAATCATTAATGAAATTATGGCTATTACAAAAGACCCAAAGGGATGAATTCATTAAACTGTTATACCCCCATTGCACATTTCACATCAAGCTAATGGAAATAATGGAGCATTATAAACAGGCTTATATCCAGTAGTCGAATGCACTTTCATCATTTTAAATATTCAGGTGTCTGATTCAGAGAGCCGAATCAATACATGGTGCCAGATCAGGTAGTGCGCTCTATCCTTCACAAACTAAACTCTTAGAAACAAAAGTTCACAGGCACTGACGGTTTTATCAAGAACATATAAAAGTCAACTGAAGTTCCTTTAAATTAACTACTTTATTTGTGGGCGGCACGATGGCTCAGTGGTTAGCATGAGCAGGAGTTTGCATGTTCACTCTGTGCTTGTATGGGTTTCCGCTGGGTGCTCCGGTTTCCCAACAGTCCAAAAACATGCACTAAGTGACCTGGATTAACTAAATTGGCCATAGTGTCTAAGTGTGTGAGTGAATGTTAGAGTCTATGAGTTTTTCCCAGTTCTTGGTTGCGGCTGGAATGGCATCCACTGCATAAAACATATGACGGAATAGTTCATTGGTTCATTCCACTGTGGAGATCCCTTATGAATAAGGGACTCAGCTGAAGGAAAATGTATGTATGAATGTTTGTTTGTGTTGAAGTAATTTCAAGTGAAACAGGAAGATTGATTTCTGATGCAGCTTTAGCGTCTTGTGGCCTGGACATACCAAGCTGACGAGGGACCATTGAGAAATGTTAGTCCAGTGGTGAGCATCTGTCAGGCTAGTTCTGCATGTCCCTGATACAGCATGTAGAATTGGTGTCAGCAGTCAGTTAAAGAGAGTGCACTGATTGGTTGTTAAGCTACGAATCAGAGCACAAGAACAAAAACTGAAGTGACGAAACTAAGCTAACACCACAAGTCAAGGGGAAACACAAAAAAGCCAGCTGTAATGTTGATGCAAATTTTTAATATTTGCAAACAATATGGATTATCAGACATATTTGCACAAGCAAACCCTCTCTGTGGTGAGCAAGAGAGGGCAGCACTAGTGCCGGCTTTCCTCAAGTGCGAGTTGGTTTTTATTTCTGCTAGTTCTTTGAGGGTGACTGTGTCTTGCGCTTTATATGATCAAATGTGCTCCAACATTAGGCACACTAAAATCAAGACTTAAGACACATCTGTTCAGCTGTGCCTTTACTGAATGAGCACTGTGCTACGTCCGACAGATCACACTATTATGTCTTTCTTTTCTTTTTCATTCCTTTAAAACGTGTTTTAACAAATTTAATCTATTTATCTGTTTTTAATATTTTCTATTGTCTGTTGTTTTTATTTTCATATACTTGTTTTTTTATTACTGTTTTTGCATTGCCTTGCCTTATAGGGCCTGGATGAGAAGCTGAAGTGCACACTGATGTCATGAATGTCAGAAGTGAGAAACTGCAAGCTCTGAAGTGATTATTATATCTTCTAAATCAGGGGCTCGCAACCAACTTTCTCAATTCGGGGCCCACTTTATTCTCCAATCAATTTTTGAAGGCCCACCTATTTATTAACAAATAAATTATTTATATATTTTATTCCAATATTTCTATTATCAGCATCTTATAACCAGAAGCCCTTCATTATATTCTAAATGTTCATTCATGCAATTATTAATTTTATTTTCAGCTTGGTCCCTTTATTAATCCGGGGTCGCCACAGCGGAATGAACTGGCAACTTATCCAGCACATGTTTTTACACAGTGGATGCCCTTCCAGCCACAACCCATCTCTGGGAAACATCCATACAGACTCACACACTACGGATAATTTTAGCTTACCCAATTCAACTGTAACGCATGTCTTTGGACAGTGGGGAAAACCGGAGCACCCGGAGGAAACCCATGCAAACGCAGGGAGAACAAGCAAACTCCACACAGAAAAGCCAACCGACCCAGCCGAGGCTTAAACCAGCGACCTTCTTGCTGTGTGGTGACAGCACTACTCACTACGCCACTGCGTCAACACTCTGAAATGTTATTTTACTTAAAAGAGCTTTAGTTGTAACTTCCAGCAAGAAACAGAAGCTGTGACTGTTTTCTTTCTTTCTTTTTTTTTCATACTGTATATCTGAGAGAAGCAGCTTCTAAAACAAGACAAAATTTAGGGTGAGACTTAATTCTTTCTATTGGGAATATACTGAATCATTGGATTCTTGCATTTGTAACTGATGTGATCATATGTGAGTGAGAGATTGTCCTGTACACACATCCTCAGACAAGAAGAGCTATTCTTGCAAGAGGAAGTTATTTTGATTATAAATTGCAAGGGCACATCAAATAATAATACTGTTTATGGATAAATAATTTACAGTAAATACTGCAATATTCAGTCTGTTTTGATTCCATAATTACCAAAGAACTGCCCCATACAATTTGTGAACCATTACTGTTTTAGAAATATTGAATTAAGTGAATCAGCTGCTAAAGTAATGGAGTGAAAATAAATACACCACTAAACAATTCCATCAACGACTGCAAACTACTCTTACTGAATTCATCCCTGTTTAGTAGTCTCATTTCTCAACATCCATTTCAATTCACATCGGACGGTTTACTCGATTCCCCAATGAAAACTAGAGATTAAACGCTGATTCCAATCAAACTGCACCTAATTGTGTATAATTAAATCGATCGCACATCCCATCTTATCCTGCAAAGAAATCTTCATTGCATCATCTGAACGCTGCACCTTCCCTCATCAGAAAAAAGAAAACACTCAAAAGCCCTCCTTATTAGCCCAACAACAGCAAGCGCAGCTCCGTAATTCATTTTAATCCAGTGGCGCTGCAGTGCTTGTCAGAGAGTGAATATGTAAGCCGGCCGCAGCCTGCTGCAATTCTCCCAAAACAAAGAGATTTGATTCCATGTTTGAGGGTCTCTGTAGCTCTGCGAGTCTCATGCTGATGGCTCAGAGTGTTATTGATGTTGTTCTAGTGTTGGAAAGGACAGGTAATAAAATAAAGAAATGAGCTCTGCCCAAAGCCAGAGCAAACACCAGCATCACACAGCTGATGCAACAGAAAGAGAGAGAGACATAGAGAGAGACAGAGAGAGAGAGAGAGAGAGAGGGAGATGCTGCAGGCTGAGATATGGTTCAGATATATACGAAGCTCCTGTCATGAGTCTGATGTCAGAATAAACTGCTCTTATCACATGTGAATATGTGTTGTGAATGTGTCAGGGTGATTTAATGAGCTTAAACATGTTTCATCTGTTCTGCTTACAGGGCTCAAACATGTTTGAAGTCTGACATTTCTACATGCTTGAGGGCTGGATGTGATATTTTATGAGCCCGTTTAAATGGTAAGGCACGTGCAAGTTTAAGAGCTGATTTGTTTTTTAGCGACTCGATCACATGCTGCTTCCTATGGATGTATTGACATGGGTGTCAATTTTGATGCGAATGATGACGCCTGAGCGTCCCTTTGACTTCCCAGCCCCCTCTATTACTCCAGGCATAGGATGACAAAGGGAAGTCCACAGGTCACATGACAAGGGAGGGAGGTCAAATGCTGGTTCACTTTCTGTTGACCTTACATATACGCAATAGGTTGTGTTACTGGGTTTTCACGTAATAAACTGGCTGACTCCCCGAGAAATAACATGTACACGCCATTGTTGTTAAAGTTATCTAAAGCTAAGACTATAAAATAGAAAATAATTTCTTGTTTGACAAAAGAAAACTTAAGCAATACAACATTTCCCAGCTAGTTGCCATAAAAATGTTTACAATTTAATCTAGTTGAACTAAAATTGATGTACTAAAGTACTTAGAACCCAAACATGAAATTAATATATTTGTATAATATGAATTAATATAAAAGATGTTACGAGTAGTTGTTGTAGTGTGTGTGGTGTTTTTCTTTCTCTCGTTCTTTCCTTCGATATCTTTCTCTCACTGCCTTTTCTGCCCTATCTCGGTCTAAGTTATTTGTTGGTGCAGTGGATTACGGCAGATTGTGATAGACGCTTGGATTGGTGGTGGCTGTATTTAAAAGCCCAGTGAACATGGATTCAGCGCTCCCCGCTCTCTCTCGATTCCCCACTCGTTATTCTTTATGTAAATACTGTTACCTAAATTATGAAAGTGAGTAATTGTTTTGCCGTTTTGTGAGATGCCGATGTAAAGTTGTACATTCTAACCGGAGAAACACGGTTTTCGGTCTCCCTGTCTGGCTTGGAGCACGGTAGGTTGGTTTGGTGCCTTTTGTTTATTATTGAGTTGTTAGTAGGGAGGTAGGTTTTCTGTATTTTATTTTCTTATTTATTTTTTAGAGAAGTTTGCTCTAATTTAGTTAGTTTGGTTTATTGCCATTTATTCTGGCTTAATGCCTCCCGATGTTATTTTGCTCCATATTTTCTGTAAATAAATCATATTTTCTTGTTAATTCTCAGTGGTTTGTGTTTTGATTTATATTTTGCAAAGAAAGAGTGCAGGGGCACCAGGGATTATGTTTTTATTCCCTGTTATCTTGTTACATTTTGGTTAAACTTATTTGTGATTAAGTATTTTTAGTTTAATTCGTGACAAAGACAAAGAACATAAATGTTAAAGTTTAAACTGACAGAATAAAACAGGTGATCTTATTTTAAGTTAACATTAACTTAAACTATTTTTAGTTAAACCATTAGGTTTGCACAATTAATTGTTTTTAATCGAAATTGCGATATGAAAAGGTGCAATCTTCAAATCATTTGAAGTTGCAATTATTTTGATTATGAGGGAGGCGAACCCGAGAAATAAAAATGATCCAACTAACGCTACATAGAAAGCATTAAACTGTTAGAGCAGAACCCATAAGCCTTTCTCTGCTATGGAGAAAATGAAAGCTCCATCTCTGCTCTGTTTCTCTCTCTCTCTTGACCTTTGACCTGCTTGTGTAACATTTCCTCTCCTCTCTCAGCTGTTACACTGTAAAAAATAATTCCGTAAAATTTATGGTAAAAAAACGGCAGCTGTGGTTGCCAGTACTTTACCGTTAAAAATATGGTACAAACCGTAAAAGTCATTTTTTAATTTTTACGGTAAATTACCGTATTTTATTCATTTTTAGAGGTAAAATGTCTGTATTTTGAATGATCAACATTTACACATCTTTTGTTAAACAGTTCGACACGTTAGCACACCCACATGCAGGTGGTGATGAGGAAGTTACATAATGAGCCAATGCTCATCACAATCAACTTTGCCCACAAGCAGAAAAGAGTATCAGCATATAGAAGGTCCTCAGTGTCATTCACACAGCAACTAAACACCAGTATTGTAACACGCATAAAATTAAAGTTATGAAATAAACATTGTTTATCAACATTAGATGTAACATAAATCTCTAATGTACATAATTGATGGGGAAACAACTAAAAAGATCCATAATAATGTCAACCAAATGCATAAAAAGTTATGTGCCATGCAGGGAATTCTGGGAAAGTCAATTTACGGTTATTCGACGTATATATATTAAGGAAAAATATCGTTAACCAGGTTACGGATTTGTACTGTAGCATTTTTACAGTTTTTTACCGTTGAAATCACGGCCATTTTTTACAGTGTACAATGATTCTAGTGGATCCACACAAAAGAATGTTACTCTGTAGCTTGTGTTTTCTCCACCTCATCAATCATTAATCAGCTGTGATAACCAACTTTTATGAAATAATAGTAAATCACAATTTTGACCAGATAAATCACAATTAGATTTTTTCTCCAAATGGTGCAGCCTTATATACCAATCAAAAACTACAACAGAAATCTCAATAACACTCAAATAACATTAGGTAAGTCTGCTGGGATGCTATGGAAAAAGTATTACTAAAGAGTGTTTAGTTAATAAACTGGCTAAATTAGAGTTATTGTACAAAGTATTAAGCAATTATTCTTTATTAAGATTAAATGATAGATTAAATGAATCCAATCAGTAAATGATTATTTTAAATGAATTCTAAAACAATCACTGCTGAATTAACATTTTTATAAAGCACCATGATCATTTTCCTTCAGTTGAGTCTCTATTTCAGGGTTTGTCACAGCGGAATGAACCACAAACTGTTTGAGCATATATTTAACGCAGTGGATGCCCTTCCAGCCGCAATCCAGAGTTGGAAAACACCACACACACACTAATTCACACACACACTCATACACTACAGACAATTTAGTTTTTTCAATTCACCTGCATAAATTAATTAATTCATTTTCTTTTCAACTTAGTCCCTTTATTAATCTGGGGTCGCCACAGCAGAATGAACCACCAACTTAACCAGTATATGTTTTACGCAGCAGATGCCCTTCCGGCTGAAACCCATCGCTGGGAAACATCCATACATACACTGTAAACGATTTCTGTTGTTTTCACGGTATTATACTGCATTTCTCAACAGTTGTTTACTGTATAAGCTGTGCACAGTGTGTTACTGTATATATTGCTGTTTTCACAGCATGATAATGTATTCTCAACATTTCCATACTGTGAACATGATTAACAGTATGCTACTGCAGATTTTACAATGAATTTTGGGAAAAAATCAGTTACTGTGCATCTAAATACAGTACTGCAAATGACCATGAAAAACTCTACACACACTTTATATTATTATTATTATGTTTATTTTATTTTTTGACAAAGTATTTTGTGAAGAAAAATAAAATAACCAGTTTCTTCAGACTGTTATAAAACTGTCCCCTGGTTTTCCATATTTGGGTGTACTGCACCTTATTTTTTTAAGGTTAACATGAAAATATAAAATCATTTTTAATCAACATAACTTTTTGCTTAACCAAAACGTAAACTGGAACAAAAATAATTGATTCATGAAACCAAAGTCAGCTTAAATGTCATAATGACCAGCCTGCTTTAGACGGATTCATGAGGATTGGGCACCCGTCATCACCATGGAGGTCACATATCTCCGCATTTTCAAAACAATATTTTAAAATACCCAACATCTCTATAAATAAACCACAGACTTGAGTTTGAAACAACTACATTCCCGCATGAAAAACGGTTAAAACTAAATTTCATAACACATTCATTATAGAGCCATCTAAGACCGGGGCAAGTCTCACATGTCTAGCCGTTTATAACCTCGTTTCGCCGGATACATGAGTGATGATAGACACCCTGGAGGTCAGAATCTCCGCTATCGGCAAAGCACGCTTAAAATTTACACATGATATCTATAAATAAACCACAGATTTGAGTTTGTAAGAACTACATTCTCGCATGAAATACTGTTAGAATTTCATTTCGTGACATATTAAACGCAATATTTATAATATTAGCTGGGCTTTCTCATCCGCCATTACCATTTGCTTGTTGATGTGAAATGAATTCTGGGAGAAAAAAAAAATATATATATATATATATATTTATATATAATTCTCAAAACACTTCAAACGAACTTTATTCTTATTGTCAAGGTCAGATATATGTAATAATTTCGCTGGTAAAGTGAATAAAAAACAATGTTACTATATTGTAATCAATATAACGTTTGCACTGGTTCGGTTCAGCACTCGAGCGACTCTGAATCGTATTGAACCGAATTGAACCGTTTGCTCGGGAATTATTTGATCACACGTGTTCACAAGCACATTCAGCAATATGCAATTAGTGTATAATTAGTGTATAGTAATGAATCATATACAAAAAGGAATCGGTTTTAGGCGGATTCGATTCTTTACTGTTCACTAAGGAGCCGATTCATAGAACCGAACGGACACGACTCGACATGCAGGCAACGGCTCTCCTAATTTGAAATTCACCTGTCGTCTTTCATCCAGCGAATTCATCCTCGGTAAGGGTTTTAAAGTCAAATTCTGTCCGTTAAAGGATTGTTTTATAAGTATTTTTGTGTATTGTGTGTGTAATTTAAAAGAATTAACCAAGTGACATTAGTTGTAGGTTCTTATGTTATGTCACGCTATCCGTTAACAAACGGTATTTTAAACAAGAAATAACAGACGCCAGGCGGTCATTGTAGTGTTTGCGAGGTAACGTTATTAGATACAGTGAGTTTATCTCGAGTGAGTTTTTGACCATACGTTAAGTTACCTGAAAAAACATAACTTTAACTTATTTTAACTGCATTAATGAATTCTCTATTTCAGCACAACACTGAGATGAAGGCGAAGTCACCATGAAAAGTTAAACGTTTACCGTTAAGGTAAGCTCTGGTCTTCACATAGTCATTATGACTAAGCTATCATTATGGTAAAATTTTTCAACTGTAAGTTAGTTATTTAAACTAAGCTCATAATGAAATGAGTCTTAACTGTTTTGTTAAATGGAGCTGTAAATTAAATGCAGTTGAATTATTTTAAGCTAACGTTAATATTAACAAAATACATATTAATTGTCTATTTCTCAATAATGTTAATGAGCTTGATGTATAGTGTGTCTTTATTTGTACATTTAATTTTTGGTGTTCAGGTGTACCTGAGGTGAGTGTACGTTCTGAGTACACAGATATAGGCCAAAGTCATTATCACTATA